GGGCAGGACGGAAGGAGCACTAAAGCAGAGGGCAGGACGGAAGGAGCTGGAGTCCACAGATAGGTCGAAGGTCAAATGAGAGAGCAGGTAATTGAATTGATGGCTCTGTTTCTGGCATCCCATACATGCCTAAGCATGGAGGAGACCACCTGAGAATGAATCGTCACCAGAATCTAGAAGACTGCTCTCTTGGGCTCAGCATTCTTCTCTTACCCCATTTAACCTTCACCTTCTCACAGACTCTGCACTCACCCCAATCCCACCCTCTCCTTAGACTCAGCCACACACGACAGCAATCAGTGACGCAATGGAAATTCTCTGAACCCACTAAAGTCCTGGGCTTCCACTGGTTCCCACACAGATCAGCCACCTGCCAACCCACAACACCAGTGGACCTCCAAGTGTTCCCTTTAGACCATCTGTCTCTGAACCCTGAGGAATGCAGATAGATAACACACGCAGTGAGCCCCACACTGAACTTCTGAGTAAGAATCTGAGGAAGGGGAAGGCTTTCTGGGTGATTCTGGTGTCCAGTAATGCAGGCTTTGTTCTGGTGCATTAAGGATGCTTGTGGTTTGACACGCCAGCACGCAAGCCCTGTTGGCCACTGGTGGACAGATAGCTTGTCCTGAAATGATCCCCGACCCAGGCATCTTCCCCTCTTGCTGACTTTTCTGTCAGGAAATGCACCCCTGCCCTGCCACTAATCAGATTACCCTCTTGCACAATTGTCTGCCCCTCCTTTTTCTCTCATTAAATTTCCATAGGACAGTCAGTTCTCAACTTCTCTTTCCTCTGTCCTAGACACTTCTCACAATTTGTCTCATTTAGGAATTGCTTATTTATATGTCAGTGTTTGAGATGCTCAGAAGTCTGGGAAGACTAAAACTATCAGACTAATAGCATCTAAGACAGAGCCAGGCCCACCATAGGTAGCCAGTAGCTATTGAATGAATTGAATCATTGACAAAATCAGCATAATGTGGGACTAGCATAAACCGTAGACCGTTGCCCTTGGTTTTTAGAGTTTCTTGCAAGGCCAGATATGTCCTTCTGCCTTGCCTGACACACAGCTTTATAGGCCCAGAGACGTGGGAACACAATGACTTGCTACAACCAAAGTAGGCACTGTGGACCTGCACAGTAGGCTACCTGAGTTGGCAAGGTTCGTCATTCACTAACGTATTCACTACACCGTTCCATTCACTTTAGGCACTCCATGAAGTACCAAAGATAAATACAGAAAAATGAGTTAGGCTCGGCGACACGTGCCTGGACTCCCAGCTCGTGAACGGTGGAGGCTGAGGGACCAAGCACACAAGGCCAGTTTGGGCTATAGACAAGATCTGAGGGCAGCCTGGATTACGTGAGACCTGTTCAGGGCCAAATCTGCCTCGGCCCTCCATGCCTCAACAAAACGCATGGACAAGACACATGTGACTCATGTACTCACACTACCACAGCTTACAGTTTAGCAAGAGGGACAGATGTTAAACAGAGCTGTGAGAGAAGGACAATGTCCAGGGAAAGTAGAAATTGACAGGAGGGCTTTGCCTGGGGCATTAGAGAGGGGCCAAGGGTTTATCCAAGGATCTAAGGAAGTAATTTAGAGCTGAGACCGCAGGTGTGACCAGGGGTTAGATAGGCCAGTAAGCCTCAGCAGAGAAGAACCTTAGGCAGTTGCTAATTTGACCCTTGCCGAAGGGACAAGGTGTGGCTGAACAGTATGCACTCCAGCTCTCTGGAAGAAAACATGGGGGCAAAGTCTTTTACCCTTGGCTTGAGAATGACTCATGTTTCGTCTGAGTGCTTTCAAAGCTTGATATGCCCTCTTGAGCTTTCCTGACTGCAAGGGAGTGAGAGGTAGGAGGTGACAGTAGGTAGCCAGCTAGGGGCCAGAACTTTGTGGATCAGTCCTGCCTGGGACTGGGGTTTTTCAAATTGCAGACTGGGAGAGTTTTTACTTGGGAGGAGGGTGGCGCAATATAGCTTGACTGCTGTGTTGGTTGGTACTGGGTTGACAGGAGCCAAGAATGGAAGCAGACATGGTTCAGTCCACACATTTTGCGGAGAAGGAAATTGAAGCCCAGAAAGAGGGAGTGACTGGTCCAAGGTCATCCCACTTCTGGTTTTAGTCTCGGGTTAAGAGAGAAGTTAACAGAGAACTAAACAAAGAAAGCCAAGTGGGTTGTGGTAAGATGAAATTCACTAGTGCATTGTGGGAGACGCCGAGTTCTGGAAGCAGAGATGCCCAGACAGGGAGGAAAAGGGACTCTGGTATCCATTCTTCCAAGTACTTTGTCCTTCACAGCATATGGGCGAATGGGTGCCGTTAAATTAGCCAG